TCAAGATGCATCGAGGGAGAAGGATAAGACAATCACAGTTCTACAACTTCTTGTGGAAAATTTGGCTGGTGGAGGTGGAGAAGCTGTACGAGAAGCTGTACGACTTCTTGTGGAAAATATGGCTGGTGGAGGTGGAGGTGGAGGTGGAGGTGGAGGTGGAGAAGCTGGTGGAGGTGGAGGTGGAGGTGGAGGCGGAGGCGGAGGTGGAGGTGGAGGTGGAGGTGGGGGTGGAGAAGCTGGTGGAGGTGGAGGCGGAGGTGGAGGCGGAGGTGTAGAAGCTGCTGGAGGTGGAGGTGGAGGTGGAGGTGGAGGTGGAGTGGGAGGTGGAGGTGGAGGTGCAGAAAATGAGTAGGCGTAAGGCTTTATGTTATGTTTTTATTTGTTGGCTTTATGTTATGTTTTTATTTGTTTAGTTAATCTGTTCTGTTTTGCAGTTTTAGAGAAGATATGGTAGTCAAAAAACTAAGGTTGTAAAAAAACAGAGAATTCCTTTTGTTTTCTTAGCAAAAGCATGTTTACTAAAAAGGTGCCTTCCTGGAGCCCGTCACTATTTGGGATCAGCCGTTCTGTTCTATCCATTACTTAAAAGCACTTGTTATCGTATCTTTACTTGCTAAATCCATCCATGTTTTAGTGCAATAATGATCACTAGTGCAATCAAACAATTGAGTAAGAAAAGCCATTCCAATTTAATTTTCATTCCATTCCTGCCTATCAACAGAGGTTTGAGTTTGCAAAAAGAAACAAACTTAAAATCGTGTAATTTACACAATGGTGTTTGAATTGAATTTAAATTAAATTTATTATTATTTAAACTTATAATGCAATACCATTAAGTAACTAAAACTTAAAGGAATATACATATGAAAGAAGAAAAAAATAGACTGTATATCCATTCTTGAATAAATTTATATTTAAAGGAATATACGTATCATCATCACCTAGCACCATTGTCATCCACGTTATACAGTGTAAGATGAATCGTGTCAATGCCAACAGGGCACCGACCTATTATCCCCAGCAAATGAAAAGCTCCACAAATGGTCACGTGTGGCACTTGGCTTGGGAATGGACAGTACTGGCTACTGACTAGTGTTGACTGAGTAGGAAAAAATCAATAAAATATATTTTCATTTTTCTTCAATTTTTATGGCTAATTTTGTAAGGGTATTATTATATTTCGTGAAAGTTTGAATCTAAATTTTATATCTAATTTAGTAAGAGTATATTTAATTTAGTAAAGGTATGGATGAAAGATTTAATGATTTACTCCGTATTTAAAACTGAAATGGAAAAATATCTCAAAACTAGGACTTATTGTTATTCGTCTTTCAGTGTAAAAAACATGTTTTTGTGATAATTTTATTAATTTTCTTTTCTTTTTGGTCCTAGCATATATATATATATATATATTATCCTATTTTCAGAAAAATTTTAACCTTCTACTTTTCAATTTTGAATGTTCAATAAAGAATAAATACCCATTGTTATCAAATTTGTTTCAAGCCTATTTGTTTATATTTGAATTATTAATATTTTAATTACTTGACATTTTGTCAAAAGCCAAATCAAAGTTGATAAAACTTTGAACTAGTATCCAGTCAAATGGGTAAAAAAATTATGGACGAATTGTGTAGCCAAGTTGGTAAAGTTATTATTTTAAATTTTGAAGTTCAACGCGTCCAATCGAATCAGTTAATGATAACACGTCACTAATACAACCGTAATTAAAATTTTATCATTCCCTCCCCCAATGTAAAAATAAAAAGATTAAAAAATATCTAAAAAAGAAAAAAAGTTAAAAATTCATTACACTAACTCTCATCATAAAAATCACATTTGACTCCAACTACCGTGCTCTCTTAACTCCAACCGGTACACACGTTATAATAATAAGGGTTAATTTCACTGACACCCCTTGAAGTTTGGCCAAATATTAGTCTAAAACATCTTTCGAAAATAATTATCAGTTAGGTCCAATTTCACTTTTCCGTTACTGCTTCCGTTAAAAACGTGTGAAAAGACATGTTTGTCCCTAATTTTTTAATCACATTTATAAAATTACAAATTATATATAATTATATATATATATATGAGGTCATATATATATATATATATATATATATGAGCGGATTTGAACGACGATTAGGAGTAGAGAGTTGTTTTGACAAGGATCTGAACGGCGAACACGGAACGGCAAGAGCAAGAACTATCATGCCCGGCGAGACGCGAACTGAGCCGGTGAGCACGGACTGAACTGAGGAGACTGAACTTACAATTTAGCAAGAACTGTTCCGGCAATCAGAAACTACGACGACAATTTTAGAGATGCAGAACTTGATTAATTGTACAGATCGCTGGCAAAAGTGGGTGCACTAGTCCGGCAACCGAGACTGATTCGGCAGAGGGAAAAAAAACAGGGGAACGGACGAGTGTCCAACGCTTCATCAAACCAAAGATCGACGAGCTTCAAAACAGAGCTTCGTTTGGAATTTTTAATGTCTGTTTGCTTTGCTGCTATGTATATATCCATGAACAAACAGTTTGGATTGCAGACACACCCATCATATACACCACACATATATTTACACACACAGAGGTATATATATATATATATATATATATATATATATATATATATATGGGTAAATATATATATGTACATGTATATATAACAGAGAACATGAGAGATAGTCGACGACCATCGCAACGTGGCGAGCTCAAAACGGCGGTGGCCCTCCATGATTTCGCGATCCTCCACAACAGCGTTCACAAGTCACCACCACCACAAAGGCGGCGTCGCAGAGCTCGGACCGTCGCGCCCGCCGTTCGCTGTGGGTCAAATTAAGATCGGGCTGTGGTCGTGGAACTGGGTTCGAGGAGCGTCGTGACCGGAATCGTTGTTGTCTCAGGCCGTTCGTGACAGCCGTTTGTTGTGGGTCGAATCAAGATCGTGATCCATGGTCGTATCCTCGGGTGACGATTGAGAGGTTGGGTATAGGGTTGATGATAAGGGCGATTGAGGAGGAATTGAGAGTGATATGGTGTATCAAACTTCTGTCGTCACAGAAGACCTCTGTTATTGGGTTTCTTTGTGGAGAGAGACAGAGAAAGTCCATAGCGAAAGGGGACTGTTGAGAAGAAAATAAGTTTTTTTGTTAGAAGTAATGGTGGAAACTGGAAAACCAAACATTCTATGTACACTATTTCATACTAACAATATGTATTACTGAAACGGTACTCGCATACCTGTAAAACAATATAGTTCGATACTTAATACTACCAACTACATTCATATTCTTAATTTCATTTTCCGTCCAAACATTATTTTGCAGACAAAATTCCGACGAACTCCACTTTTGATCTGTCATTCAACAATTTCACCGGAGAGATTCCGGAATCACCTGTTTTCTTCAACCACGAAACGAAATCATTTTCCGGAAATCAACTCCGGCGAGCACTTCACCACCTAATCCTAACCCAACACCCATCAGAGGATTAGTTCCTCAACTTGTCACCGGAATCTGAAACTCTCCACCGCCAAAGTCCTCTGTTTTATTCACCGGAAGTTGCAGAAGTGCAGCAACCCAGTTCTTGCTTCATTGTCAACCAACATCAAGCTCTCTCACCGGTGACAAGCACGAGCTTAGGTCTGATCGGAATGAGCTTAGGTCGACAAGCACAAGCACAAGCACGGGTGGTTTTCTTCATATGCAAAACACAGGAATATGCTTCCGTAGACCATCAAGGTTAAAGAAGAGTAAAACATGTGAAGAGTATAAAAGTCTAACATTATAAGGGTAAATATGTCATTTCAATCATAAAAAAATAATTAAATAGGTCAAACCAAAGTCAAAGGGTAAGAATGTCTTTTACATGTAAAAAGTGGTCTGACACACCTGCCAACTAACTTTTGGGGTGTGAATGAAAAACAGAGCAAATGTTTGTAATGTGAGTGATAGTTATTTTCGAAAGATATTTTAAACTGATATTTGACCAAACCTCAGGGGTGTCAGTGATATTTTCCCTACTAATAATGTAATATTGACTTTATATACTAACAACATGAATTAGTTTTATCAACAAGTTTGACCACTTTATTAGGGCATACAAATTGTCATTGGTAAGGTTAAAAAAACAATATGCGGATTGACCTAATTCAAATTAGTATGCTTAAATCATAACTGAAATTGGATTCATATTTAGTAATGAAGTTTTAATATATGAAAAATGTCTTATTTTATTTATTAATTTTTAATGTCAAATTTCTTAGAATACTTTATAATTTAAATTCGATACAGATTTTCACATATAACTAAAAATTATTTTAAAATACCAAATTGTATTTTCACATATAACTAAAAGTTATTTTTACATATAAATTTATGGTCAAAACTCAAATTTAATGCTCATATAGACTCAAAATAATAATAAAAAAATATTATCAATTCATTTTTTTTGTGACCGGCCGTGACAATAATTGAGATAATTCTAGGAAAGAAAATTTATCTCATCTGTTACTTATCAAGAATCATTGTTCAACACTAACTATAGAAGTCGAACAAAAAAAAAAATTTATTATTGAATTTTTGTGTAAATTAAATAGAAAAGTAGGACCCTTCATTAACATGTACTGTGCATAAATAACTAATAAAAAATATTCGGTGCAAGTATCATAACTCTTATAATATTTAGGGAGTTGAAATAACTTTTTTTGATTTATTTTTAAGCTTTCTTATTTTGTTAAGTTTCCTTATGCATGAGATTTTTTCCATTGCAGATTATTTACTCATTAATAATATATAAAAATTGATTTCTCTTCACGGAAACTATTTAAATATCAACAATTTTTATCACAAAAATATTTATATATCTATATATGAACACTTTTTGTTTGTTTGTTTAACTAGAAAAAAATAATAGAAGTTAAAACACAAACCCACCCTAGACATGAAAGCTCAAAAATAAAGGGCAGTTACGTAAAATTGTTGAAACAAGCCAAAACACGATTCTCAGGGCAAAACAAAGGAAGGAATTATAGAGAGAGAGAGAAGAGAGGAGAATAGAAGAGGAGAGAGCTCTCGTGTCTCTTTGTCGCTCAGTTTCGTGCTGCGATCAGATCCTCAGTGATCCATCAACCAACCTATCCAACTCACACTTGCATTCTCGATCGATCTTAGCTTCTTTTCATTCCTTAAATTAATCCCTACGCTCTTTAATCTCTTCCAAATTTTGATCGGTTATTTTTTTTGTTTGTTTGTTTTGGTTTTTAATCGCTCGATCAAATTGTAACCCTAAATTCGAGACTGATTGAAACCCTAATTCGAGACCTGCAATTTAGAAACCCTACGTTTTGAATATCGATTAAAAAGTTCAATTTTGATGGCTGCAGCTTCCAATTCAAATCATCAATCCCCTAAACACGCCGGCGGCGATCGTCAGGCGGCGGCGGCGCGTGGTGTAGCTTCTCCCGTAGCGTCGCCGTGGACACAGATTGTTCGTGGTGGTGAATCTGAATCCATCGTCTCCTCCTCAACCTCTGCCGCAGCGGCGGTGCCACCATCTTCTCCTTCTTCATTGCCTGTTATTCAGGAACAGGACAGACACTCTTCTTCTGACTCGTCACCTTCCAAGTTGGCGGCTTCGGCGGTGGTTTCGGCTTCGTCTTCCCCCGAAGAATCTGCGGTGGAGTCTCAGGCGGAGTACTCCGACAACAGTAATGGGAATGGCAATGCGGCTAAGAAGTCAGCTTGGAGCAAGCCTTCCAATGGTGGTGCTGATGGTGGACCTGTGATGGGAGCCTTTTCCTGGCCTGCGCTCTCTGAGTCCACTAGGGCTTCTCCGAAATCGTCATCTTCTGAGTCACTGAAAGCTCTCTCTGATGGATCGATCTCTGCGTCGCAGGTTGTTTTTATTCTATTGATTTCATAATAAATTAATTTTTGTTTATTGCTATTATGTGGTTTATTTGGAGTTATTGGTGATGTGTGTGCTTGTAATATAGGGAATTGGAATTGCTTCTTCTTCCACACAGAAGCAAACCATGGCTAATAATGCAAGCCCTGTTTCAACCCCGAATCATGCAACACCACCTACGCGCCACAAGTCTACGAGGCGTGGTGGTGGTGGTGGGAATGTATCCGTTAATGGTGGCTCACATCAGCCGCTGCCCTTAACACTGGGTTCGGTAGTGAGTTCAGCAGTGGAAATGTCTGCTAATAATGCTGGAAAACCAGGGTCTTCAGTTCTGGAGTCTTCTCCAAGAGACCCAACAACACATAAGGAGACTGGACAGACGGGAGGCTTTGGGTCACATTCTCATAACATTTCTTCTCCAAGGAATGATCATGGACAACAACAACGGAATTCGTTTAGGAGGGGCAATGGAGGTTCTCATCCTCGGGGTGATGGTCATTACCATAACAATTATGGGGGCAGGGACCGTGGAAACCATGATTTGAATCTTAACCGGAGCTTCAATGGCAGGGAAGGTCATCTACAGCCCCACAGAGGTGTTACTAGGGGCGGCTTTATACGACACCAACCACCACCACATAGTTCCACCCCATTGATACCTCCACCTGTGCCCGTGAGACCTTTTGCCAACCCTATTGTGTACCCTGGTAAGATGTATTACTATTTCAACTTTCATGATTTCAATGTATGGTTTTCCCCTGACAACTCTATTTGTTTGCAGAAATGCCATCACCAATGATTTATGTTTCAGGTCATCATCCGGATTCTCTTAGAAGCATGCATCTTGTTGCACCAATGCCACCTCACGCTATGTATTACAGCCCTGTACTGGATCCTCAGTTGCACACTAAAATAGTGAATCAGATAGATTATTATTTCAGGTATTTTTTTTGTATTGGTTCCCTTTTTTATAAGAATGATCATAAGTAGTTGATTACTTTATTGTTGTTGGTAACTTAATGGCTAATGCAACTCTTATTTATTGCAGCAACGAAAATTTAATTAAAGATACATTCTTACGACTGAACATGGATGACCAGGGTTGGGTTCCTGTTATATTGATAGCAGGCTTTAAAAAAGTGAGCTTTTCTTACCATTTGTCTGGTTTTTATTCTTTTTTTCTTGATGATAACACTTGTAGTACTGATAAAATTTTATGGCGTAATAGATAATTCATAATAATCTGTTTCTTTTCCATCTTAAATCACTGAAAATTCTATGTTTTGATCATCTTAGTTTACAATTGTGGCAGTCCTTGTAGATGCGCGTGGTATTAAATTATTGTTAACCATACAACTGCTATCAAGTAGAGAATATTGGTCATAGATAGAAAGGGGGACGCATTAAAGCATGTTATTTACTTCATGTGTCATGCTATTACAATGTTATTTGGACCTTGCTTTGGGTGTGTTCACTGTACTTTAGATTGTAATGGCTCTACACTTTCCTCGTGGTCACTTCTATTTTATATGCTGAATTCATGAAATTTTGTTTTGATTTTCATTCTCTTTTTATATTCTAATCTGATTTATCGTAATATAAATCTATATAGACTTGTAATGCTGACACACACACGCACACACGAGTGGATTAGTCCAAACCTTGCTTGATGCCAAGAAGAGCTGGCGTACTAAGTATAACAATCAATAAGCATTATCTGTGTTATATTGAAACCGTTCTCCCTTTAGGATTTATGTTATGATCCCATGGCTTGAGTTGGTCATGAAGGGAGACTAAATGACTAATACACTATGATGGACAGATATGGTCATGGCGATGCGGCACATCTAAAAGAGTAAGGCACAAACACAAAAATAAAATAAAAAATAAAATACTATTATATGTACGAAAAATTAATTTTTGCTCATTTTATCTATATTATTGTATATGTAATCACTAGTATGGAGCTTAGAGTTGGATAATTGTTGCTTTCTAAAATAACTTTTTAATTAACCCATAATATTTTTCATAATTGCATTAGAACCTCTCTTTTTATAAATATTTGAAAAACTACTCCGCTCTGTCTTGAAAGTGTCTCAAACCTGTCCAACCAGAGGGGGAAAAAAAATCAGCACTTGTAGTCATGTCAGCCACATGTCCCACGTGTATGTATCGTACACGGCCATGGTGCTACTAGAGAAGTGCTCGTGCTTCCCAGCTAATACGCTTTTTATTTATTTATTTTATATAAGTACTTCCTAGCTAATAAGCTTTATTAATGCTGTCATTTCCTAGACTCCATCTGGCTTGATCTGTGGTTGTATTTGAATCCTTAAATATGCTGGCTGAAGTTCACTACTTGACTTTTTTGGACTGGTTTTGGGTGGAGATCTTTTATATTTAGATACAGGTATGGGCAACTCTGCCACCTGCTTCCACATATTAGATATAATAAGCGTCATGTACATAACTGCATAAATATCTGTACTATTCTCGAGTGTCATATGTACTTATGTAGTTCTTTATGCCTAAGTGAAATAAAACTATACTTCCCACATACAAGTTATATTTTAGTTGTCTGAAATTTTGTGTTGGTTTTCACATTGTAATTGTACTTGTCTTGAATCTGGTTTAAGGTAGGTTAGCATATCATATATATATATAGGAAAACTAGATATCTCGATATCACCTACTTCTTTTACTTGTTATGTTTGTTATTGTAAAACATTGATAAAATGTAAGAGCTGTATGTGGGCATTTAAGATGCTAGAATTTGGATGCTAATCTCTTGGGAATGTATGCACTAATTTTTTTGGATGCGTACATTGACCCTCTCCAGACTCTGCCATGGCAGGAGCCTCGTGCACTGGGCTAGTCATTTATTTATTTATTTTATAAACGATCTTTCATTAAAATGCTGAAAGGGGAGCCTACCCAAAGAGCAACTGCAGGGATTTAAGCTCTAATTTAGGAAATTTGAAACTTAATAGCATTTGTCATTTTTATATATTGTCCACCTGCACATGATGTCGTTTGTCACCATTCAGCTGTTTTTGCAGCTGTATCATCTGACTTCTTAAAACATGGGCTATCATCGCCTGTAACATATGTTCTTTGTTGTCTTATTTGTCTTTGTGACATCCTGATAGTTTTCAACTTCCAAGGAGGACTCTCCTTGCTAGTGGACCAATTACCCATCAGTATGCATTGCACATATAGCTAGACAATTTTAATTGATATATACTTATTTTTCTTTAAATATTCTTTAAATTTCCAACAATGTATAAATTCATTTTTAGTATTTCTCTTGCCATGTGCCCTTAGTAGGTATTGGCAACGGTCTGGACCTACTCGGGAAAATGGCCTCGGGCTTGCCTGGCCCAATCCGGGTTGGGTTTTACTGATCAACTGCCCGGTCCGGCCTGATAGTGAAATGTCAAGCCCAAGTCCGGCCTAGTGATTGGCTGGTCAACTGGGCGTGGGTATTTTTCTATTTTTGTATTAAAAACTTACAAAGAAAACTATGCCCATGAGGGGGTTTGAACTCTCAACAGGACGCCCTAAAGCGCTTGTGGTATCATTAGGAATATACAGCCAAACCTTAGGGGAGGTGGAGTGCATACCACTTAAGCGTAGATGTATATAAGTTATATTTATGTATTAGTTTTATAGTATATAAGTTATATTATTTGATATGAATTTGATGTGGATTTTTGAGTGGCTATGAGATTCGAACATTAACCATAAGTTGCTTTAATAAAGCCACATATCAATATAACTAACAACACAATATGCAAAAATTAGTTATAAATATATATTTGGTGTACCAAGGCATATTAAGTATTGTAACTTAACGAAATTCTGATGGATGTATTTGTTAATTAAATTGTGAACTATGGTTCAATTTATCCAAAGCACTTAACGCTTAATGAATTATTTATCACACTATTGATTTATCCAGGAAAAAAGTTTGTTTTAAGGCTCGGCAAGGCGTTTCATCAAAATCAGACAAAGAAGTAAAGAGTTATGAGTGTCAAAGTTTTTGCCGCACAATGAAAAGAAAAAATATGTTGGGGTCAATGTTATATTGTAAAATTGATCGGGTTCAATTCCAAAAATCAAAATATAAGAATATTTACCTCCCCTTATTGTAATTTTTTAGTTGCCTCGACGAGGCTTGCGGGCGGCCTAGGCTTGCTTGGTAATCTATACAGGCTGGCCTTGTCTGCATGTGAACTTAGGTTTGTACAACCGCCGCCACTGGGCTGTGGGCTGTTAGGTGATACCAAGTCCTTAGTATTTTGACCTTTTCTATCAAAGAAGCTTATCATCATCTAGTTCCTAGATTAAAATCCTTTGTAGATTATTTTAGATTGTCTAATTTTCCCAAATATGGACTACAGTCACAGTGCTTGCAGTTTCTTTTATATCTGAAACAATAGGTTGCTATGCTCCATGGAGTTTTCCCATGGACACAAGCCAAATGAAATTGCAGCTGAAATAGTAATTGGTAAATCATAAATGTGAGAAGACGGAGAATGGGGGGAACGGGATAGTGATGTTGAAGGAGATGGTGTTGTCCTGGAGGTAGGAGAATAGGGTTGGAGGTAATGACATTTACCAACAACATATATATATTTTTTGACAAGGTTTACCAACAACATATGATGAAGAGGACCTCATTTTGATAGGCTGCAATTCTGTAGAATCTCAACCAAAGTGGCTTTTTTACAAAGACCTTCTATGTAAGCATAGGTATCGGGGGGAATATTGGACTTGGTAGTTGGTTCAAGACAAAGCATGAGGCCTAGATGGTATTAAGTTGGCTTTTTCTTAGAAAATGGGGGATATTAGACTTGTTTTATTAGATCTTTTTACATGGGAATTCATGGAAAGGATTTTTAACTTCACTACCCTTCCCCAAAAGTTATAAGAATCAGTCATTGATATTTTCACCAATTATACCTATTGCTTGTTACATCTTTACAGGGCCTTGTCTCATCAAGCCATGGGAAGGACATGTGTAATCTGATTGAGCACTGTGATGTCTCCAACTAAGAAATATAGACAGGTTTCCAATGGGCATTCAAGTCAGACAAAGAAAGACCAACTCACCTTATCTTAGGCACTAAATAAGCCCTTGGAAAACCTTGAACAAACCCTTTATCTTTAAACATTACTCAAATAACACCTTTACCTTGAGGGGTCAGCAGCAACTTGGAGACTTTCAAGTTTCAACTATATTTTCTTCAGGCTAGCCTTGACTTCCACCTACCCTAATCCTTCTTGTACCCACGTGTAGTTTATATAGTATTTCCACTTATCTTAATAAGGACCTTGAATCCATAAAACGTATATTGTGAATCTTTTGATTTGTCATTGCTAAAAATGATAGTGATACTTGATGGAAAGGAGGTGATGGAGAACGGATTGCAGAATGCTTTAATGATATAACGGTTTTTAGATTTTGCTAGCATATTTTGTCTAGTGTTTGAAGTCTGAGTTGAGAGAAATTGGTAGCTGAACTGTAGTTGTTAAAAGGTGCTAGGCTGCAAAAATGCCAGGTTCATCAAGGCTCAGCCAAAGCACCTCCAGTCATATGAACATAAAGCTCTTAAGCAAGTACATTCTGGATAAAAAGACTGTTTTTAATCATTTAATGAGTTTCTGTCATTTCTTTTCTAATGGTTTTTAATTGACATGCTTTATACCATATCTTGCTTACGTTTTGATAGATTATAATATTTAATCCTAAATGAATTGATGGTTTTCTGAATTAATAAGGTTATGATTAATTAGTTAAATGTAATTAGTAATTTAGTACTTGGTTCTGGATAAAATCGGTCAATAATATCAGAATTTGAGGAATATAATGTATGATTAATATCTATATGATTGTAATGGTATTTGAATAAGTTGGTGCACATGCATAAGATGACACATGCTAGAGATCTATTCTAAAAAATTGTATAGTTTTGTGTTACATATATTGAATTATTTTTAATTCTAAATTGATTTACTTATAATTATATGTAAATTGAAGGGATATATGTATATTGATTTTATTAATGGCACTGAATTGATATGTTGAAAACTTCCGTTTTTTGGTGTCGACTAGTTTTTGTAGTACAGCCTATAA